TATTTTTTATTATTTTTTATTTTTTTATTTTTTTTCAATTAAAATGAATTAAACTTTAGAGTAAACACAATTTCAAAGCTCTTGTAAATTGATTAAAATAGTTAAATACTACCTTTCGTTTAGCTATCAAAAATATTAAATTATATATTTTCATAAATTTTCTTAGCAAAATTAACAATATTTAATTGTGATTTTGTTTGAACAAATTGCAGTTTCTTATGGATAAAATAAAATTATAAATAAATTCTTTTAATTGGCTAACAGACGTAAACTGTGGATATCCATTTGAGCAGATCCGTCATGAGATCCTGCTTGGGCAAACGGAAATCCGCAAAGGTTTGTATCTGAGCATCAGCAGCAATGCGGAAGGATCGGCCCAAGCCCTGCAGGACCTGAGTAAACAATTATGATTAGTATCGATGCATTGTTGGATGATAGCTGAGTGAACTTACCCGCATGGCATCCTCATCTGTGGTATCATCGCCCGCGAACACCACGCGCACTTCATCGGCCCAATTGGGGCCGAATTTGGTCTTGAGAATGTGAAGTGCCGCCTCGCCCTTGTTCCAGTCAACTGGCGGCTTCGCCTCGATGGCCTCGTGCGCCTGATTGGGACGGAAGCCATGTCGCTGACAGATCTCCGCCGCCAGTTGCTTTAGCTCATCCTTCAGGTGCGCAGGTGTATCGCGATAGTGAAAGGTAAGCGAGACGCGCTTATCCTCCACCCAGGCGCCATTCTTCTCCACACGCTCTTTCAACTCATCCACCATGGCCGTATAGTTTCGCTGTATCTCGCCGGGCAGCTCAAAGTCGTGACGTGATCCATCCGGGTACTCAATCTCAAGTCCATGATTGCCCGCAAAGGTAACCCCATCGATATTGACAAGAGCGTGCACATCCCTCAGTGCACGACCCGAAATGACGGCCATAAATATTTGCGGATGCTTGGCCAGCCTACGCAATATGGCCTCCAGCTCCACGGGCATTTTGGTCTTGTTCGGATTGTCAGCAATGGGCGCCAAGGTTCCATCGTAATCCAGCAATATGGCCAGCTTGTTGTGTGTGTCCAGGTAACTGCAGGACGTATGAAATAATTCGAGTTTTATTTTAATTTAAATTATTATATATATGTATATACTTTTGTTTTATATATGTGAGGCTAAGAAAAATTTCGAAGTCCTAATAATATTCAA